AATATTCTTGACGCTAATAAGTTATCTTTTTCCTATTAAGTTGGTTAATGAAATAGTTATTTTAAAAATAATCTCTTTTTAACTTCTAAACATGCAATTATTGAATAAAATAATTTTAGACTGAAGCCGATCCAGATCCAGATCCAGATCCAGATCCTGCCTGTATGCCACAGCTCCACCTAAAGAGATAAAAAGTGGGAACATGTGTCAGGACAACAGGGAGAAATCAGCTTCTGGACCTCTTAGTTGTGTTATTGTAATGTTCAAGTATATGATTACTGCTTAGAGTGCTAAATATTCGTTAAAAGATGAATTATCCTTATTTAGTAAATATCTTGTTGCATATAATGAATAATTTTTGTATTTAAAGATTTAATTAGTTAAATTCATTTAGTTTGTTGTATTGAAAATTAACACTAAGCATTAGTTTAAGATATTTGTGTATTTATTTAATAAGATTAATCTGTTTACTAACTTAGTATAAGTCTTAAAGTAATTTAATTTTAGATAGATTAAGTAGTTAGTAGTAATTAGTTTAAGATATTTGTGTATTTAATAAAATTGAGGTAATCTTGTTGCTTACTTAGTATAAGAATTAGAGTAATATAATTTTAGATAATGTAAGTAGTTCGTAATAATTAGTTTAAGATATTTGTATATTTAATAAAGTAACTGTATTACTAACTTAGTATAAGTCGTAGAGTAATATAATTATAGATAGATTTTAAGTATTATTAAAAGTAGGGACGTGTTATTATTTTTATTACGGTAACCTTTGTAATTTCGCAAAACATTGATGTAAATAAACATACGCTTTTTTTCTTCTGTAATTAGTAATATTAATATAAATATAAGTTCCTACCACGTCCCCACGACCGACACGCCAAATTACAGATTCCTGTAATTTCGTGTAATTTCGCGTAATTTCGCGTAATTTTTGGCGCTGCCACCTGGCATGAAACCTCAAAACTAAAGATAATAGCGATAATAATAACAATAATTTTGGGTTTTGGGGTTTCATGATGGGTGGCAGCACCGTAGCATTTGCAGGTGATTGGTAAACCAATATTTATGGAGCTCAAGTCCGGTATATTGGGTTAGGGGGCGGGCTTCAAGGGGGCCCCCTTCTAACCCATTTATCCAGCCCTACAAGCTTAAAACCTTTAAATAAAGAATCTTAAATAAAGAAAGAAAGAATCTTAAATAAAGAATCTTAAATAAAGAAAGAAAGAATCTTAAATAAAGAATCTTAAATAAAGAAAGAAAGAAAGAAAGAATCTTAAATAAAGGCTACAGGAATCTGTAATTTATTACAGGAATCTGTAATCCAAAATTGAAGTTCCGCTACCCAATCATAGATGGCGCCACCGAGTTCAAAGTTATAAAATGAATATAAAAATTGCTTACTTGATTCATACTTCTGATCTAACCTACCTTATAAGTTTCGTTAACTTTGAACGTTCGATTCATATATCAGCCTGAATGTACAAATGTTAATTTTACAGGAAACTGTGACCTTGAATGTTAGATTCCTAGAAGAATACTTTTCTTATAGAAATATGTAATGGTTTTTACAGAAACCTATAAGGAAGCTTTTGCTACTGACCGCTAGAGGTCGCTTTGGAAAGCCGGAAAATCTGCAATCATTGTTAAAATAAGAGGGATATTCTTAAAGTATAGGAAACTTATTAAGTTGGCTTTCAATATTTTATTTAAACAAATTACATTACTTCACTAAAATAAAGAGACTGTAATTGATAGAAAATTATTTATTAATCGCTTATGATGTACAGATACTAACCCGTNTTACCGAAAGTCAATATTCAACTAATTGTAATACAAAGAAGACATTACTAAAAACCCGTGCAAAACTATTTATATGCATTATTTATCATAAACACAGTTATAAAACTTATTAATGAAATTAATTACTAAGAGATATTATTTCAACTAACTGAACATGAAAACTACTTTTGAAGTAATCTAGGGTACTTAAAAGAAAGTTGCTAAGTACGATTTTGCCTTAGTTCGAGGGCGAGACAGCACAGCATTCCCTTCCAGGTAAGAATCTTGGGCAGTAAATCGCATTTACTGTTTATTAAGAAAGTATTTATCATTTACTTTTAGGAAATCACGCGGAGAATAATAAATGGTAAATGCGATCTTATCCGGAAGGGATTGTTGCCCTGATTCTCCTCTGAAATTAGGTAAAATTGTATTAATCAGATATGGTTATCGTAAAATAATCGTATACGGGCCTCAGTAAGAAAGTACGTCACTCCCTCCTGTCTTTCTTAAACTAGGGTGACAATTCACACTCGGGAGGGAATCCTGTATTTTCTTACCTTGGTGCGTACTATACAATTTTACAAATTTTAAAATATAGGAACTATAAAACTAGTTGACAATAAATCTATTTTTTAAACAATTCAAAGATAAAAGAAGTTTTAACAATATTTTTTATGTTGTTTCTATTAAAACGTTAATAATTAAAATAATTCAAAAACTTTTGAAAGATCAATGATTTTTATTACTATTGTTTTCTACACATTAACCATGTGTCTGATCATCTTCTACAAAATCGCGCGCCACTTCTCTACTAACACACTCAATGTGACTTACCTTATTTCTAAACTTTACTCCATAAAATTTATTTGCGTGCTCCAGTAGTTCGGGTCTGAAAGTGGTCGTGATGAATTGCGCTTCGCTTGACAATTCGTGAATCATGTCCGCTACCGCCTTTCGATGCTGCGCATCTAATGCCTGGTCAATTTCGTCAAATAAGTAAAACGGCGCCGGGTCACACTTCTGAATGGCAAAGATGAGCGCCAAAGCTACTAACGATTTCTGTCCACCAGAAAGTTGGTTCATTTCACGCATTTCCGCGTCTGTTTCAATAAAAGAGACACGAACGCCAACGCCAGTGAAATTATCGGAATTAGTGTCTTCAGGACGTATTTCACGACCCTCCTCACTGTCTGCTACTTTCATAACAAGTTTACCACGACCAGCAGGGACAAGTTTTTTGAAAACTTCTGAAAAGTATTTCGATACTTGACGGAATGTAAATTGTATTGCTTCCATTTTGCGTTGTTCCAGCATGCTAAGAAGTTCTTTGATCTTTTCATCACTGTTAAGGGAAAGGATATACAAAATTTAATAAGCGCACTGTGAATTAAAAACAACTCGTGTAAAGTAATAATTATAATTTTAATTAAATTGAATTAGAATTAATTTCTTACCCTCTATCTAGCTCCTCTTTACGTTTTTGAAGCTTTTCCTTTTGGTCAGAAAAGCTCATGAATTGGTCTAAAGCTTTTTTATTAACGTGACTGTACTTTTTTAGTTGGTTGTTAGTTTTTTCCAACTCCTTGAATAACTAAAAAATTTAATTTACATAAATTTAAGTTAGAGCATTACGAGTTATGATGGATACAAATTTATAATAAGGCAATTAAAAGTATAGTTACATAAATATGCAATTTTGTCGAAACGAACTGTGTTTTATATACGAATTAAATGAAAATTAATTTCCATCAAAATAATCATACTAAAAAATCTCCGATAAGTGTTTAATATACAAACTACTGCTTTATACTATAAATATAGGGTCAATACAGAAAACATTTGGGTTTTTATAAAGTTCAATTTCTAAGTTGCTTATTGAACTGCTACTTATATTATTATTGTAGTAATAAGTCTTGATAAGACTTTTAATAGAATTTTTTGAAAGTTAACTTTAATACATTAAAGTGAATTAACTTTTACAACTACAAATAACCTCAAATTAATTAGAAAAAATTATAATCGAAACAATTGCAAAATTTTGAGGAAACTACCTTGGGTTTTATTGATACATTAAGTGAAAATGAGATTCCATCAAGTTGACGTATATATGGTTAATCATTGATGCTGTCTATGATGGCAAATAAAATAAATAAGTAACAGCTACATTGACAATACATGTATCAATAACGTTGACATGTGAACTCACTTACCGATCTTGAACTTAATTTGACGTAATAATTGTACAAATCGTCAGCCGGCAATGCTCCCAATTGATTAATCTTTTCAACAGATTCAGCTATTTTCTGTTCCAAAATGTTTTGTTTTGTAGCGAACTTCTCCAAGTGTTTTGCATCTTCATCAATTTTATCTTGGGCTTCTTTCTCAGCTTTTTTCCATTTGTCTAGTTCAGCTTGCTCCGCTTTTAACTGCAACATATAGAAAAGAAATAACCGCGATCTTAAATTTTCGTAAAAATAGTTTACATACCTTTTTCGACATTTCTTTTACTTTCGTTTCCATTACACTAAGTTCTTTGTTCACTTTTTCAATTTTTTTATCAATTTCTTCCACTTCTGCCCTAGAATTTGTTAGTTGCCTTTTACGGTCTTCCAAAGATATTTCTTGTAATGCATGAAGAACTTCATCACGTCTACGAATTAGGTTGTTTGTTAAGAGATTATCCAATTTATTTTTTTCCGCCTCCAATTTCATACGTGTACTGAAAGCTTCTTTATTTTCCCGTTGTAATCGTTGAATATCGTCATTAAGGGAGTCAACTTCTGCCTGATCGGCAACTGATAATTGAGCCATAAGTTCCTAAAGAATAAGTCTTTTTTATGAAATGGAATGTGAAACACAATGTGGATATAGTAAAAAAATTGTAAAATAACAATAACCTGATAGAGCTCAGATTCCAAACCTTCCTTGGTGTTTTTCATAGCTTGCAAACTAGAAGTGCACTGAGCCAAAGACCTTTCCTTGGGAGCACGGTATCTCTCGATATTAGCCAGTTCTTCTTTCATTAATCTCAGCTCACCTTTGACTTTATCATAAATAGCTCTGAAACATACATATTGTAACAAAGTTGCAAAAATTAACTCATATGACTTACTTTGCTTTACTATTCTTCGTCTCTGTTTTCTGCATTTCAGAAACGATACTGTTGATGGTCGATTCAGTGTTGCTAAGCTCTTCTCGAAGGTTTCTCAATTCTTCTTCACATCGCTTAATTTGTTCCATAAGTTCACTTCGGGTCTTTTGCATTTCAAGACGGGATCGGGAAGTGTTAAAGTAACCACCAGTTAGTGAGCCTTTAGACGACACCTGGTCGCCGTCTAACGTTACACAGTCCAAACCTGTAGTTCTGGCAAGTTTCGTGGCCACATCCAAGTTACGGCAGATTAATGTTTTTCCAAAAAGATAACGCATTGCTTTATCAAATTTAATATCATAGCGTAGTTTTGACACCATTGGAATTGCATCCTAGGAAAAATAAAGTATACATTTAAATTTACTGCATTACATACAGTTAACAAAACTTGAAGGAATATCGTGAACGATTTATTTAAAACCTAAGAACTAATAAAAGAAAACTTACAGCGTCCTGTGGATAGTCAACGTCTCTCGCATTCAATCTATTTAAAGGCATAAAAGTAACTTCACCAGGTAATGACTGCCTATTCATTTCTTTCAGGATTTGAGTCCCTACGACATCAGACTCGATAACATGATGAAATAGGCGATTTCCAGCCGTTACTTCCACTGCCGTGTAAATTGTGTTGTCGCAGTTGAAGTTTTCAATAACTGGGCCAAAGTAGGCCTGTGCAATCTCTGCTTTACTACCACCGCATTTTATAAAGGTGTCGAGTACTTTGCGAACGCTATCGCGTCCATTTAGTGTTGGCTTGCCAGCCATCGAACGTAAAGCCTGATCGGCTTTTGCCAAATCTTCTTTCAAAGAAGACAAATTTTGCTGAACGTTGTTTTCTTTTCGCCACAGATCACTGAAATGATAAAAATTTATCGAAACAGAAATCACATATATATAACAACAAAAATCGTGAATTATTTAGTAAATAATATTACATACTACAGTTGGAGCCTATATTCATAACTTACTTTCTGATGGTTTGGTGCTGATCTTTATTTTTCTTAAGTTCATAGCACTGTTTGTTATGTTCGTCAATGCAAATTCTCTGCCTTTCAAGTTCTTGTGTCTGTTCTTCAATTTTCTTCGTTAATTCAACTTGTTTTGCTGCATCTCGTTTTAAGTCTTCATTTAGTCGGTCTTTGTGTTCCTTTTTATCTTTTATCTGTTTATTTAAAGACCTAAAATTATAATAAAAAATAAAGTATACTATAAAAAGAATGTATGCAAAAAACTACTTTAATTCATTTTGAATCCATTTATCCCGTTCTTCTTTTGAAGTAAACTGACTACCACGTCCCTGTTTGGCATATAACTCTTTACGTTTCTGTTCTTTTAAAGCTAGTTCTCTTGTACATTCTTCTTCTTTTTGTTTCATTTTTTCATACTGAGGCTTAATCTGCAAAACAAAAATTATACAAAAAATATAAAGAATTCATGTTTTCAGTACAAATATATAGAATTCGTTTTTAGTAAAAATATACCTTTTCCAATTCTGCCTCTTTTTCCTTTATGGATTGTGTTAATCGAGCCAGTTCTTTTTCTGCCCTTTCTTTGGATTTATTGTCACCTTGCACTTCCTCAGTTAAATCTTTTATAGTCAAGTCAAGTTTGGCTTTTTCTTTTATGAGATGTTGCAGATCATTGTTCAGTATATCACGGTCTTCTTTTACAGAAGCTAAATCCTTTTTTGTTTCCTTAGTTTTACGTGTTAAATTTTTAATTTGCTCTTGGGCTTTTTTAAGATTAGCAGCTAATCTTTCTTGTTCAGACCCAGATTCATTCCTTTGTTTTTCTAACTGTAAAAAAACACACAATTCCACTAAAATTAACTACTTTATCAGAAAAAGTTTAAAACTGCTTACATCATTCAGTTTTCTTTTTGTCTCATTGAGTTCAACTTCATGTATAATGTATTCAAGTGCCCTTCGTATTTTGTCATGATGCTGGTATTGTTTCAACTCCTCTTTTTCTTCTTCGAGTGTGCTTAATCTCTCCTCTATAGTGCGAAGAAATTCTTCAATTTTCTGTACTTTTCCTTCAGTTTCTCTTAATATAGCCAAGGACTCATCACGACGTTCATCATAAACCCTTGTACCTGCTACTTCCCGTAATAATTTTAATCTATGAGCATCTGGAGCAGTTGCCATTTGATTAATCTAGAAAAAAACATAATTTATAATATATAGCCATAGAATAATTAATAAGAATTTATACTTTTCCTTGTTTGACGATATAATAAGGGTTGGAATTAGAAAAGCCTGCTGACTCTAGGAGATTCATCACTTCACTACGAGGTACAACTTTCTTGTTTAAGAAATATTGATCTTTTTTGGCACCAATAACACGTCTAAGAAACACTTCTTCATGCTCAATCTACAAAATCAATAATTCACTTTCACATTTCTTAATTCTAATATGCTTCTGTACATACTGGTACACGACCATCTGAATTATCAAAAATGATCTCCACATAAGCTGAAACTACACGAGGCCCAGTGCCTTCATGAAGCAAAGCCTGCCGTTGTTCTGGCCGCAAATGAGAAAATTCATCGCTGAGTACAAACTGTATTGCTGCAAAAATTGATAAGCACTTTATAAACAAAGATACATATTTAATTGTAAATAATGCTAACCATAAAAGAAGTTACTTTTTCCTGAGCCATTACGCCCAACAACGACATTATGCCGTTTGTCAAAAGGCTCCACTACTGTTTGATCCCGATAACTTTTAAAACCTTGTATAATAATCTGTAAAAAAAAAGATTTTATAAAAGCATTATAAAATTTACAATTACTAAAATTGACATACCTGTTTAATATGCATATTGTCAGTTGATTTGTACTATAAGCATGTATGATATAAGTAATTACACCACTTTTCTCTTAAAATAACTTTGAAATTTACTTATAAATTATAATTTTAATTTCACAAAAGCGGGATACACATCAACCGTTATTATAAACATGGACTCAACCATAGATAAACGGCATACGGCAAGCCACAGTGAAATATGAAGTTAGCAGCACGCCTCTTCGGATGTTCTTGCCACCAACTCACTAAAAGCAATATTCCCTAACAACTTTTAAATAAAGGATGTCCAAAAAGGAATCAAAATTATAATATATGTATAACAGTAAAATAAAATAGTTTTTATTAGTATTTGACTATATATTGTTATTTACACATGAAAATGAAATAGCAATTTTAAATAGCAAAAGTTATTTTTGGACGATACATTTCTTTATTGATATAAAAAAAAAGATGTTCAATTCGATAATAATAATCAATTAGGACTAATGTCCGCTTTTCTGATTTGCATATTATTTGTTATATTTATTTTTAAATGACTAAAAAGTCATTAACGATTTTACGTATGAATATATAAATCATACACTAATATAATACTAGATACTAGTTTTTGTAGATGTCCACGTTATGTGATAAAGTGGTACACTTATATATAGTAAAAATATGGACAATTTAGTAATTAAAGAAAAAAAAACTGAAAATTTCGTTGAATGTTTCACCACTTTACTTGTAGTTTCCACATTTTATTTGCAAGAATTTTTGATAATGAAATGAGTTGCTAAAATTTAGTTTTTATTTTTCTAATTATTAAATTGATTAAGGCTTTTGCTCTTGTAGAAACGACAGTTACCTACACATTTAATTTGTAAAGCTGATTAAGTAGTTATCAATAAATCTAGAATAAGCAAATCATTACCTACAAAACCGTAATTTCCGTCTTTTCAGTGATTTTATTAATTTGTATTAAAAAAGATGAAAATAGAAATAAATCGCATTTAAAACCTTTAATTTCACTTTCTTAACTGGGTACTTATTATATTACCTAAATCGTTTAATGTAGGTACGGAGGCACTACGACCGATAAAATTTCTGTAGTTTACGATGTCTGTCTGTTGTTTTGTAAATGCTCATTAGTTGTGCAAAAAGGGAGAAATATTAAAACTCATTTGTTCGCAATCTTTTTACGACGTCATGAACTGCAGAAATAATGAAAAGCACGAAAAGGCAAGATTGCTAAATATGGACAAAATGGAGATAGCCAGGATTCGAAGGCGGGGACGGCTCTGCTTTTCAAGGACACGTCTCAATTAACTTCATCAGCCATCAGAAAATCAATTTTCTTCTTATATAGCGAAAAATAATTGTAGGTAAAACTATAGGTAACAGTTGTAGATATCCACAAAGGCGGCGCACATAACATGCCCCCTGGATAACGATTCTTCAAGGGATTACGGAATTATAAATTAAGCGGTTAAATTGTTTCTACTATTACTTTCTCTATCACCTATTCAAATTTTAATTAAGTCTGTATTGAAGATATTACTCACTTTATCTATTTGTTCGCATTAACGAATGTTGTATGTACAGAGACGGGAAAAAGGTGGGATTCCATAAGTTCCAATTTGGGTGACGTGTGTTTTGACGAAAATGTGTTTTTGTGAAATCAACGGAAATGATTCATAATTTCGTTTTCTTTTTGATCACTTTTAACAATTTTCCAGAAATTTCGTTCTTTACAACGGTGAATCTAAAAAAGTATGTACACCTTTGCTAAGCTAATTTGACTGGGGAAGTACCGAGAATTTATATCAATTGCACAAACAACGGTAGTAAAATGTCGATTTTTAAGGCTAATGGACATAATATGTATCTTTAAACAGAAGTTTAGATTGTTCACGGTATACGGCGGTACGGTATAATTTATACGCTGTTTACATTATCGAGTATCTAGGGCGTTTCATATAAGACCAGGTATCTGCAAAATTTTGATTTTTATTCAGAATCTAAAGAAAAGTCTTGAAAAGCTTATTTTTACGTATCTATCTAAAATGTTTTCCAAACAGTACAATAAAAGGAATATAACATAAATTCGATTGTAAATGGTGGTCTAAATAAATAAACAAATAAATATTTACAATTATCACACAAATCTTCCTTCTGTTACATTGCTGAAACATACGATAAAAAGCGATTAAGGTGGACTGGGATTTTGGTGTTAAAGCACTGCTTAAACCTGGTCGCCATTCAAGTCGAAAACTTTTTCTAAATTTATGGGCACATGTTCGCGTGAATTTTGCAGACTATAGAAACTTTAGGACATTTCAACAATGTAAAACTGGAATTGTTTTAACCTGTGAATTTTAAGAATTATAAATTACTCGCGAAACTACCCGCTAGCCAAGCACAGGAGAGGAAATAGATTAATGGAGTAATTTCTTTGCCAGGGGTTTGAACCCTTAATGTGCTCGAAAGTTCTAGTGTAAGCCTGATTAAAGGCGACGTTGAAAAGTTCTCTTTTTTCCTCAACTACCTAGCGAATGTCACGTTTAGCGTTGTCTTTTGCTTGCTGAAATATTAGCGGTGTGTAATAAAACATACAATTTTATATAGCGTGATTAAGTCAATAAATCAATAACTAATCGAAAGTTTAAGTTGCTATTAACAGTTCCAATGAATTTATTCCGTTTCTTAGTTTTTCGCATTAAAGTTTTACCGAAAGTCAATATTCAACTAATTGTAATACAAAGAAGACATTACTAAAAACCCGTGCAAAACTATTTATATGCATTATTTATCATAAACACAGTTATAAAACTACGTAATCCTAAAATGTAGCATCGTGCTACAGATGGCGCTCACCACGCCATTTGTGGTATTTTCTAAAACGCGCTGTTAAGACAGCAGGTAAAGGTTGGTCTGTGTTCTGTCGGAGCTGCCTGCGACGCGCTGATGAGATCCAAAAAGATCGAAATCGCGATCCGCGTCTGGCAGTTTCGAAAGAATACAGACCACTTCGAATTATTTTGTTGCGGTAGAGACGTCGCGTCGGTTAATTACTTACATACAACGTTCTTACAGTAACATAATAAAAAGAGTCATTACTTACGGACGCGAAAAGTTCACGGTGGTACAGGTAGTACCGTAAATGAACTATTGCCATAAAATCTTGATGGTAGTGAGCATATTTTCAATTTTAACAAAGTACTCATTTCTACTACGGGTCCGTCACTTTAATCAAAACAATTTTAATTCACCGTTAAACAGTGGTTAGAAGGAAAGGAGTTACGCTTAACCCAATTGAGTTTTGTTGGAAGCTTTTTAAGAAGAATGAGTGTATTCAAGTTGACACAGAATTAAACGATTGAAATAAACAAGTAGTACTTACAACAAAGTTATTATTACACGGATATAATGCAAAAATTACAATTTTTGATTGTAAATGGCTGAATTTGCCGTAGAAATAGTAAAATTTACTAAGTAACATGTAATAATCTTAATTTTGACATGTTTCTTTAAGAATTATATCTGCTGGGATTTTATTTTTACAAATTCGGGTCCAAATTGTAATTATTTTATTTTCCTTTACGAAGCAATGGGCTAGTGGGATAAATTGTAAATATCGCTTTAATATTTTTTCATTTTCTCCGCGAATTATTTCAATAAATAGGGGAATATATATATCTTTTATTATTAGACTAGATTTGACTAACGGCTTCGTCCTTATAAACTATTTCTAATTGTTTATAACAAATACAACGATTATATTACTATAACCAATAAACAATCTAACAAAAAAAATGTTAAGGGTTGTTTGTATCTTGATAGAATTTAAATAAGGACATGAAGTTAAAGAAAGACAGTTATTTCGATTTTATAGAAGATTCATTTATGTGTTTGTATAGAGGAAGAAGTACCTACCTATAGTACCATTTTAATCGAAAAATAACTTTAAAACTGTAAATCTAATTATTTTTATTTCTGAATTTTATTAAAATCACATTTACACAAAACAAATTTGTCTTACCCGCCGAAAAAAATCTTGCAATTGCTTACTTAAAAATTAGGACTTGGGCGACCGAGTTTTTGATAAATTATTGTTCTTTAAAAATCTGACCACATTGCAGGGATCGAATTTGCGCACTCTCGGGTGGTGTATTTACCCTCTAACCACTGTGGCGAAAACAATCATATTACGGGGACAAGTCGTGTTAAGTTTCTCTGGGCTTGAAAACAAAGAAAACATGAATTTTTCCAGAAGTGAGACCTAGCTAATTTGATCTTTAGTTCTCCCTTCAAGTTGTAAATTTCATCAAAAGAGTTAGTATTATTTTTGAGAACGCGATTACAACCAAATATATAAGTATTGCCTATATAATAAGTATATACAACGATTACGATAAACCGTGTTTACAAATTGAAAAAAGCAAATTGTATATTGTAGTAGTATTTTTGAAAACAAATTAGCTTAAACTGTTGCATTAACTAATTACTAAACAGCAGAAAAATACAAAAAATACAACTCTGAAGCCTGTTAAAATGACTCCTTTTGGACATAATCACCAAGGGTCACACGTGGCGCGTGACGCGTGCAGCTGTGATGCGTAACGCGTGACGTTACACTTTTCGGGTTTATATCCTACCGTCGATATAGAAGTTTAACTTCAAAAAGGTAATTACCTTAAAATTTTACAAAGGATTTCAAGATAAGCTTTCCTACATCTTCTAACATTATCGCAACCTGAACATTTAGTGTTTTAGTAATGTTTATTAATATGCAGCATTAATGATCACGATCTAATTTGAACTAATTCTCAGAAATGACCAATGCAAAAATACTATAGGCAATTCCGTGAAAATTGAATAAACATTTGCATGTAAGTACATGAGTGGGCATTTTCCAGTAACTCAACCGTTCAGTTGAAGAAAGACAATACAATATGTAAAGACGATATTGATTAGGGAAAGTGGCATGTACCGATGAATGGTGAAAAAATCATCGGCCGTAATTTCCAATTTTCGCGACGACGACATTTGAAGGTACAAATGCAATTCTTCCGTAAATGCAACTCTTTCAACATCTACATTTCCATATTCCTTATACATCGTTTCGTACACCAGATGGGTTATTGAATCAGAGGTGGCCATTATTTTTGCAGCACATGATGATAATAATATACCCATCGACTAAAAATCGTTTTCAATGAATGGCTACAGATAAAATCAATCTTGCAACAAATACGACACATTT